ACGCAATGCCCGCATATCTCACTAAATGCAGTGTGTCCTCTCTCCTTGGCCGATACATCTTCACACCCACCTTGGAATACATACCACATGCTCCAAATTCTTGGAAGTTTTGGAGATCCTTCCACCACACCTATCTTTCCTAGGTACCAGTCCTTCCCACCTATCTTTCATCTATTCCATCTCTAAAGGTAAAATCTATGCCCTGATTTGTTTTGAACTAAAGTTTTCCAGCTGTTAGCAAATCAAAGGTGAAGTGAACTGGCCGAGAACCACCGTGAGATAAAACTGTGATATATTACATGAAAAAAATTCCACTATTTTATGCCTGACATCCTTCTGATGTACAAATGTTCCCTATCCAGAGGACCTGCCTGTTAGACAAAGGGCACTACACATTAGAGGAATCCTTTTTCCAAAGGAGGGCCAGAATGAAAGGGCAGCTCAAGAGATGAAGTCTCATAATAAAGAAATAACAGCTACTTCTCTTGGAATCGTTGTAAAGGGCAGCACAGACAAGAGATTTATTTATAGGAAACCCAGTGAAACCCCTAGAACATCCACATTGACTTCCCTGAGCTCCTCAGATCCAGGTACGCTGGGGACCCTGCAGAAGCCTTTTGAGCTGGGTTACTCTCAATAGAGAGGGTTTGGCAAGTTCCTGCAAATTTGTTTTCATAATCAACCAGAGAGAAGAGGATCAATGGGCAAGCCCTCAGGACATGCTTAGAGAAGAGAAAGACTCTGAAGAAAGAGGTGTATGTGTGTGTGTGGGAAGATCTTCATTTCTACCATTTTAAGATGTTTCACGTTATTCCTTTGGGGTATGGGCACTACATCGAAACCAACCCCCCGATCTGATCGACCCCAGCTGCCTCCTGCAGAGTCTCATGACAACATTGAAACCCCAGGCTCATCACTCCCTGCACTGCCTAGCCTAGAGTTCAGTGCTTTGGAGAGGGGAGGCTGGCTTCTCGTTAGCAAAGGCTGGGAGATGGCATTATGTCGGCATGACATCAGTGCCTGAGAGCATGTGGTCACTCATGCACATCCCAGATTTCTGAGAGCAGGGGAGGGAGTTTCTTGTCCTGCAGCCGAAGGGCAAACACCTGTTCAGAGTGGACACTACTTAGCGTCCGAAGACTGACCAGCTTCATTAACATCCGTGGAAACATCAGGCGGTCCTGCAGAGTCAGACAAATAGACAAGTGTTAGTAAATTCAGACTAAAACTTTGTTTAAAAAAAAATAATTACCAGATGATGCACTACAACCACAATTCTGACTTCATCTAAATCTGCATTTTCCAGGAGGTGGCGGTGTGGAGGTACACGAATACTACACCATGTCCCGAAACTCCAGACTTTCCGTGCTCGCTAAACTATGGCACACGATACAGGACAGCAGGCTGTGACAGCTCACAAATCCTGCATTTACAGCTGCTCTCAAACAGCTACAGAAAGGAAAGGCATGACAGCACAGGCAGCAAGAGACCTGTTGCAGATGGCACTGCTCGAACTGTGCCTGCATGAATACCAAATCAGTTTGCGCCATTATTGGAGACGTTCTGGTCAGGCACTTACATTTGGTCTGTTGATGCAAATGTACGAATGAAGGGCTTCCACATAGGTGTTCTGCAGCCTCTCCACCAGGGACTGGTCCTGCACATTCGGTCGGTCTGCCAAAGAGCAGGTTAGAAGTAAGCAGACTGTCACAAGCAGCTTCACTGGACTTGACATCCCTGCCTAACCCCAGTCCCTCAGTATGATCTCTCCCCAAAACCTCATCTTAGCATTCACCTAGCACAGTGGGGAGAGTCATCCATGACTGCAGCAGCTACATCAGTTTTCTATAACTGTTCTTTCTCAGTGATGTCTACAGCACATGGGGAGTTTGATCTGACTCCTGTAGAGCTGGAAGGTTAGAGAGACCAAACAGCACTATATATTGGTCTCACATTCCTGTCCCAGTGAAGATGAGAAGCACTCCATTCAGGAGGGAACGGGAAAGTCTCTCCAGCAGCTAAGCCAGTTCGGAAATAGCAACAAAGGAAAAAAAATTCCTTCAGGTCACAAGACAGAAAACACAAGCAAAGAGTAAAGGTGGCTTCTCTGCAAAGCCCTGTCCCGGCCCAGAGAGACACTGGTCTCACATCCAGAGCATCTTCACGTGACCACTAGATGTCACTCCTGCCGTGCGACCTGCATCACACCGTGCACATGCCAAGTACCTTAGGGGACAGTAAAACAGCAATTTCCAAATGAGGAAGATAGATATTGGCTGATCTTGCTATACGCCTTTACAGAAATGGGGAATCTGATTTCCTCTGGAGGCAGCACTAGAAAATTCACAACATAATGAATACCCTAAGGAGGGGTAGTAACCTACTCCCTTTATCGCTAGACTGTATTAGCGAACCCTCTATTACTCCTGTTAGCTTGTGACCTTTCTCAACTCTACTTTCTTTGCCCTCTGACTCACTGCTGCAGCTCTTCAGATCTTCCTGGCTTTTTACCTGCAGAGAAAATGTTGATGGCGATTAAAAGTGCATATTCAGCATCATTGAGCTGTAGCTCATTCATTCCCTTTGAGAACTCAAAGATGGGGTTAATGAACTCAAACTGCAGACCTGCAACAAACATAACAGAAAAAGGTGAGGCAAGGACAACTGTCTCCTCTCTCTCTCATGGAATAAGCTGCCAGAAACCCACTGCAGTACACCAGGGAGCAAGGAGGACAGACAGTTAGAGAAAAACCCTTCCATTATGTTCCAAGTGTGGCTGAAGCCTCCCTTTACATCCCACCACATGAGCACCAACTACAGTGGCTGAGGAATCAGGCTCTAACTGTAAACTGACTCTATTTCTAGGTTTTCTTAGAGCCTTAAATGCCCCACAGCACATTACTAGGCAACAGTTAAAGGAACTATCAGGTTCCTCAGGAATCTGATATTCCTAAAGGAACATCAACTATTGGGTAAGTCTGTCAAAAAGTCAGAAGCCCATAAGTACAAGATCTACACTTTCCACTCTCACACCATCACCTCCTCCAAACCCCGTAGCCCTCTTGCTTTCAAAGAGAGCTTTAATCTCATGCTCCAGATTCATCTGAAGTCCATCTGAGCTGAAAATATATAGTTCCAAGAAGTCTGAACTATGCCATTTCCTTCAGCTCAAAAAGCTGGGAGAGCCGAGGCAGAGTCTGACTTAGGCTTCCTCATCTCCTCCTTTGATAAATGCAGTCAGGCAGAAATGCATTGATATTTACTGTCATAACATACAGAGGCCACTATCAAATAAGGTCTCTTTGTGCTATGTGCTATACAATCATGCTGCAAACTTTAGGCCTTTCCCCCAAAACAGTATCCAAGATTCTAATTTCCTGCAGTACAACTGCATCAGAAAAGGATGAACGAGAGGCAGGGAATCTTTTCAGCTGCCCGCTTTTTTTCTTTTTAATAATCTGAAGAAAACGCTACCAGGAAGAGAGTTAAAAAGGGAAGTCGTATATAAAAGCCATGTCAAGTATAAATGGTTAAATAGCTACCCAAGGAATCAAAAAAAAAAAGAAAAAAAAATCACATGAAGGACAGCCAAAGTCTCATTTTCAGAAATGCTGAAGATACATACTTCCCATTACTTCATCTGAAATTACAGATACTCATTGCTCCTGGAAAAATACACTTCAGAAATCACATCACCACAGGCCATGATGACATGACTAAGGCACTCTGTGGAGAGCTTTAGTGCACAGTATAGACTTCATATCAACTGAAATGTAATCACACTAACGTCATCACTCAAAGCATGCATCCAGATTAGCAAGTGATATACTTGCAAAGGAGAGACAACTGGGGTTTGATTTGTTGTGATCTGATACGGTTCTAAGACCACATGACCACGTCAGATCTCTACTAGCAAGGAAGTTCACACCAGCTGCTAGCCCTAGGTGCACTCTTACAGCAAGATTTTCATGCTGTAAGAGTCCAATTTTCCAAGGCAAGTTCACACCTAAAAAAAAAAGAAATGAACTGAGCTAGTATCACATAGTAAAAGCAAAAAAAAAAAGCTTTGTAGGGCTCTTGGTCAATCCTATTCTAAACCCCTCACCTGACTTCAGCTTTAAGGCCCCACATACTATTTCCAGCAGCTCAGATTAAAAAGGAAAAGATGAAAGAACACGAGAGACAGGGAAGGAAGAAACACCTGTCTAATGCACCACCTGCTTTGGCGAAGTCATCCCGATTATAGCTCAGATCCTTAAGAAAGGTGATGCTCTCAACCTCTGGATTGTAGCGCCGAGATGTTTCCAACAACATCACCTGAAACCAGAAGTAGATATACTTGAATTGAAAACAGGAGAGAACATTACAACATCCATAATCTGCTGAGTGTTAAAGCATTTCTGGAAAAAACACTATCAAAAAAAAACAAACAAAAACCCTCCAAGCAGCTTCTCTCAGATTGCTTAAAAATGCCAATGTAAATTCTGCTTCTGGGAAAGGGGAAATACCTGCTTAACACTACCAAGGCTCTTGCCTCATTCTCCTCCATGGTCCTTTGCCAGTATAGCCTGGCACTGCAGTAATGGTCTCATAGCTGAGGTCTTTCAGTCTGCCATCCCAAAAAAAGGGATGGAACCTCTTTTCCAGGAGAGTACTCCAAATTCTTTTATCTCTGCTACTATGTAGTGTGGTGGAGTCAAACTCTCACCTCTATGGTAGATGTCTTCAATAAAGCAATCTGATCTTCCCTGGTGAGCTCCAGGAAGCCAGGTAGTTGCTTGGCAAAGTCCACAATCTCTTGCACTGACATAATTGCAAGTTCTGTGAAGTGAGCAAAACGCTGCTGCCTTGCTTCACGGTTATTAGGGTCAGGAACTTGGGGCCATGGCTGTGGGAATGGGAAGAGAAAGAATATATATGAAAGATGGGGCCAGGGCAGAAAGACAAGAAGATGAAGTGAAGAGAGAAAGAAAATGAGACCCATTAAAACATCATCCTTTGCTATTCTTTACAGAACTTCAGCCCACAGATGCAATGCCTAAAGTACCTCTGTTCTCCCAAATAAATTACCCACAACCCCAACTCCCTAAACTTCACTTTTTCTTATTTTGGGTATGCTCATAGAGTTGTTACCGTCACTTTGAGCCTGTCTGTGAAGGAGCGCTGGTTGCACTGCTGCTGAGCGGCCACAAGCTTTTTTATCATGCTCAACTGTTCAGGTGTCAGTTTGTGGGAAGGGCTTGGTGGATTTGGAGGGTTTGGACACACCACAACTGTCCGAGCCTGATCATCTTCCTGCTTCTTCAGTTTCTTCAGTCGGATCTGTTCTTCAGACAGAACATCTAAAGCAGGAATAGTCAGAGACCAATCATGACATAGGAGCACACTGGAAACCACACCAAACACAGGGTAACATTGTGTGCTGTGGATGAAGAGGCAGAGATCACAGCTGCCTGTATCTGGTGTATCAGAGCATCCACAACACAGACAGCAGACAGTGATACTTATCACTCGTTTCTCCCTCTTTTCCCCACTTTAAGCTGTTCCATTGCCTTTCTTTTAATCATACCATCAAGCAAAGCATTCACAAAGGACACAAGCTCCCTTCATGATGCCCTGCAGATCTCAAAGACAAATAGCTGCACTTTCCCCATTGAGCAATTCCCCAAAATGTCATGTTAAAACAGATGCAACAGATGCTCTCTTCACACATGGTGGTGTGTCCATTACATTTTGCATTGTCCTGCTGTTGTGTCTTCTTCTGATATTGCTAAATTAACAGCTTGTGTCATTTCATTTTCCTCCATCCAGGTCAATACTGGATGGAGTTTGAGAATGAAAGGACAATTCTCTGCACAACCCATCTGCAGCAGACTGTAGAGTAGTAACATACTACAAGACGAATACTGTGTTCAGCTCTGGAGTCCCCAGCACAAGAAGGACATGGAGCTGCTGGAGCGAGTCCAGAGGAGGACCACAAAGATGATCTGAGGGCTGGAACACCTCTGCTATGAAGATAGGCTGAGAGAGTTGGGGCTGTTCAGCCTGGAGAAGAGAAGGCTCCGGGGTGATCTTATTGCAGCCTTCCAGTACTTAAAGGGGGCCTACAGGAAAGCTGGAGAGGGACTTTTTACAAGGGCGTGTAGTGATAGGACAAGGGGCAATGGATTTAAACTGAAAGCGGGAAGATTTAGATTAGATATAAGAAAGAAATTTTTCACTCAGAGGGTGGTGAGGCACTGGAACAGGTTGCCCAGAGAAGCTGTAGATGCCCCATCCCTGGAAGTGTTCAAGGCCAGGTTGGATGAGGCTTCGGGCAACCTGGTGTAGTGGAGGGTTTCCCTGCCCATGGCAGGGGAGTTGGAACTAGATGATCTTTGAAGTCCCTTCCAACTCAAACCATTCTATGAATAATGAAATAATAGCTTTGCATAAAATATACTGAGGATTGCAAGTCCTTCAAGAGTAGACCTTCAGTCGTGAAGTCAAAGGATATGCCGTTTAGATGTAACATTGTAAGGAATAAAAACTCAGATGCATGTGTTGTGAAAAATATTATTGGACCAACTGCTCATTACATGATTTAAATACAAAAACCTGTTAATGCCCTGTAATTAAGTTAACTGAAGAATTCACCGATTTGAATGTAAAGGAGGTTTGTTGTTTCTTTAAGTCAAAGTTGCAAAAACTATCTGTAAGCTGCATCTAAAAAAAATGGAAACTATCCACCTGGATTCAAGGATTATCTTCAAGAGAATCATCCTGTGAGTTAGTCATGAACAAACAAAAAACAGAAAAGGGACTGATTGGAAAAGAAACTGTATCTTCAGGAACAAAGATTTAAAAAAAATAAAGCTGGATTTTGCAAACAAAAATTAAAGAGTGCTGAAAGATTCTTTGGCCATTTTTTTTTTTTTTTACACACAGGTAACACGGAAACATGGCTGCTACAGAGGAAGGCAGGCCCCAAAACTGAACAAGTATAGACTTGATCTTCTCAAAAGAATGATGTTAAATATGAAGACAAGGAATGAAGAACTACTGTGAGAGAGCATTCCGAAATGGACAGTCCACAGGATTGGAGGGAAGGACAAAGAACATAGCATGTTCAAGCTAAGAGTAACCTTTATCCCCAGCTTCCGACAGGGAGGATGTGTGCACAGGTGCACATATACACAAAAATTACAATTCAAAGACATTCAATACAACTATGAAATCAAGGGCAGTTTGTAAGATTAGGGAATGCTAGTCATAGTGTTGGTTTAAGAAGGGAAGTAATTGATCCAAGTGATTACAGTCCCTCATGTTTGGAGTCAGATGCACAAAGAATTTATAGCTGAGTAACAAGTTACCAGATATTACAGAATCTTGAAAACTGCCTATGCACAGGCTTGTATACCATGCTAAATTTAAAGCAATCTACATTACTTGGTTTGCCATGAAGGAACTACTTAACCTCACGGTTCATGGTGGCTTAAGAACACTAAACTGGCCATGAATAACCTCAGTCTGGGAATTAGAAGAATGTTCCTAACGCTTAGCAGAGGGAAGTTCTGGAATGACCTTCCAAGTGAAGCAGCTGGAGGAAAAAGCCCTCAGTTTCTGTCAAGATTAACAAGGCAAATTTGCAGCAGGGATTACAGTGTTGACAAGAATTGCCAAGCACTTGATAATAATAACCCAAAGATTTCTTTTGGCCTAACTTTCCTAAGCTGTCTTCAACATAAGACAAGTAAATGCAGAAACATATTGTGGCTCTCTAATATCTACCTGAAATGGAAGAGTAGCAAGGTGGACAGGTAGCCTTGCTATGTAGCTTTTCAAATACATCTGTTTTGTAGCTCTCAGGAGCAGGGAGAAATGGGGCAAAGACAGCATACGTAATGCTGATACAAACAAGCATGACAAAGATACTGATTATGTATGTTAGATGCGCTGTGTTTCATGTTGAATAACCTGAACAACATTGCTTCCTTAGTGCAGCTCAGTGGGACTTAGTTTTTGCAGATGTATTTTTATAAGATGTTTCTGAAATACGCTCTGTTCCTCACTGTTCTGGGTGCTGGATGTCAGAAAAGGAGACTTCACACAAATTTGAAGTTAACCAAGCATCCATTTGGTCAGTCTTGGCCAGCAAAGGGATGAAACACGGACGTCTTGGCAGAGGAAGGCTGCCAATACATGAGCAGGAACATTGTTGAATATTCAGAAACAGCAGCCTTATGGCTCGTGTGAGAAAAATGGCTGAGTTTGCTAAAGAGAGCAACGAGATTGGGTCTGCACAAAGAGAGCTGCAATACTGTGGTGATGCCCTCGACCTCTGTCACAAGGTCACGGTATAAGGCAAAGGAAAGTGCTTGTTGTTCAAGGAGCACGGTGACCAACCTTGCAGTCCTGATCACAAGACAGACTGAAGCCCGAGTTTACTGATACAGTTGACAGCATACTGAAGAACACATACATCTTAGTTGCGAGTCTTTCCTCTGAAGTCATGCTCCACGAGTTCTTACAAAACAGCATGTTCAAGGAATAAAGCAGGGCTGGGGCTCTCCACACACCAGCGGTATTCCACTAACAACAGCCTCACCTCTCCACATGATCCCTGCTAAGCTCTCAGTAACTTCCCCCACACATTCTGCAGGCAGCCTGCATGGCTCACACATGACCCCCAAGCACTCACACTGCCCCCTTCCTTACACCCGTTGGCCCCCAGCCCACCCCACACGCCTCCTGTCCCAGCACCACAGTGCTCCTACCAGCCCCGTTTCCGGCACTCACACTGCTCCCGCATGCCTGCCTCCTGGCACTTGCGCAGTCGGCACTCCTGACACTTGCGACGCATGTACATGTCCATCTCGCACTTGCCACCGTTCTTGCAGACGTACTGTGCGCCCTTGATGACGCTGCGTCGGAAAAAGCCCTTGCAGCCTTCACAGCTCAGCACATTGTAGTGGAAGCCAGAGGCCTTGTCCCCACACACGCTGCACACTTCATTTCCCAGCATCTTGGGGGCTGGGCCCTTCTTCCGCTTCAGGGGGGGATTTTCTACCAAAACAAACAGTACCAAGGAAAAGGAAAAGAAAAGAAAACCCACATACGTGAGGGAAGCATGGTGTTTGCAGGCGAGTGTCCCATTTCTTACAATAACAGATATCCTCACTCAAACACACTATATCCCAAACACGGGGATGAAAAGATCAAGTCTCCCATTTCACAGACTCCCCTTCTGGACAACAGAAGCAACAAACCAACTACTGACACAATCTAAACAGTTTCACCTCAACTAGATAAGCAGATACAGCTTCACACTTGTTCCCCTCCAAAATAGGCTAAAAGAGTTAAAACATGCACAGGACAGATGTTCTTCTGCACTTTCCATCAGCAGAAGCGATGGTTAAGTTACCAATGTGAGAAAGAGCTGCAAAAAAGTTGAGCTAAAATCCAAGACTCTGCAGAAAGTAGTTTTCTTCAGAATTCATCTCCAGTTCTCTTACTTCTGTTTGCTGCCATATTCACACACAAGAATAAGGAAAAATGGTTCAGTTGTCAAATACTGACAGAAAACCAGTGCTGAAACTGTGACCCTACAAAAATCAGACTGAGTAGGCAATCCCTGTAAGTGGAACACTTGGGGAAACTGTCAAGATAGAAGACAGCAACTTCATGGAGTTAGGGGCAGTAAGCAGGCAAGCAGCACACTGCACAAGCTCTGTGAACTTTTAAAACCCTGAAGCCATCATTTCTTTAAGAAGAGCGCTCACCACTCCTAAAACTGAAGCACTCTTATACTGACAGTTCATTTACTAAACCTTGTTATTCCATCTGAAACACTGGGCCTTCACTACTGCCTCACATTTCAGATGGTCTTTTGCCGTAGCTCTCAGTTCTTCTTACATCATTCTGACAGATATTAATCCTGTCACTGGCTGTGTGTTCTGAAAACACCTTTGGTTTGCTCCAACACACCTCACCTTAAGCATTCCAGTCAAACGGTAGCCAATGTTATGTGTGTATTAGCCATCTCTCTCTTCATTTCTTTAATTCTAGCCATGCTGACATCTGACACGTCCTTCTGCACAGTTCATAGTGTATTTTTCTGTATGTCAGATATTCTAGATTCTTCTATGACAGCTGTTCATAAAGATTACAAACAGCATGTCTTGATAAACCTACAGGTTATGTTGAGATATGCCTGAAAAGCCTTTACACTGGTGTTAATTCATATGGACCGGTTTGCAGGACAAGGCTGCTGCATTTCCTGAGCAGCACCAGAGTTACTATAGTATGTCTCATTTTCTCACATACGGTTTTAATACTTTTATCTTTACTCTCCGTTACATTTACTATTCTGCTCAAATTCCTGAAACGGTAAGCAGTTTTAGGTCAGTCTCAGAAATTATTATTAGTGCTCTTCACTACATATTGGTTTTCACAGTCTTAAGTATCTTGGTGTTGATTTTCAATCCCATTGACTTTACAGAGGTCTGGAGGTCACTCGTTTTTGCCTGCACTTCTCATTGCAGACTGGACAGCAGGAAAATATCCAACCAGAAAGGTTACGTCTCTGATATTCCCCTGTCTTGTTCTACTATATTTCTCTTCACGTAATCTATTACCAAGAGGAAATTATGCAATGCCTACAGTTATTTCAAACTACTTAGTTTGCCGTTACATATATAGAGAGTGGTATAATGACTTTGTGGAAGTCTCAAACAGTGTTCTTATGTTTTTGAGGGACAGCAGAGTAATCCAATGACTTCCACAAGATGGATCTGTCTGTTTTGTGGATTTCTTAGTTGTCTTTAAGAAGTTATACAAAGGGCTGATTACCATTCCTACGACTGTTTTATTGATACAGATAGGCTTATTCTTTGTTCTATGTAAATTATTTTCCCATCTCTGAGCACTAGCCATTTTAGTTATATAGCTTATTATTGTTATTTTCTGCAGTCAAAGATAACACAGAATAACCTGAGATGTATCAAGCATGAATGCCATCTCTGCACCTTTAGCCCTCATGAGGGTCCTCGTTCTTTGGTAGATTCCCTATTTAATAATTTTTTCCATATTTCATGGCTTTTTTCCTTGCATTTTTGTAAGGCATTTATTAATTGTTTTCTTTTCCTGTCCTCAGATCTGTTAAAAGGACTTTGATTGGGTAATACCTCTTCACCTTTCAACTACTCTCTTTGTTTCTACTCTACTGTGAGTCCTAGTACAACATTCAGATTACCTCTCGTTTTTATATCGGGGATTGCCCATTGCCTCACTGTTCAATAAATACATTTATTTGTTGTATTTTCATTAAGTTGTCAATACTACACTGGACATCTCGCTTGTGCTTTCCTTTTTTTCCTGTTACCTGCCCAGAGATGTTATACATCATCTTACAGTTTGAACGTGCAGGATTGTGTGTTAGCAGCAATTATAACTGCAAAATCTGAGTTCTATTTCCTGATACTCTCTAAACCTCAGTTCTTTGTGGCAGATTACTCTGATTCTGCTGCCTGTCTTCTTTTTTATGCCATGTAGCTTCAGAATATCATGGCACAATATGCTTCATTATTGTGGATATATACATTCTGAAAAAAAGAAATGTGTAGAGGAAATCTCTCCTGTCTTTCCATTATATGAATCTGCAAGAACCTATTATTTCTTTGCATCACTAATCCTTGTTGGATTGTCACCTGTACTAAAGCTTTATTGTTCAGCAGCTTTTGATAAGGCTAACAAAGAAATTCATTTTACTCCACAGACCTAGCCTCTAGAAGGTCAAATAAGCCAAATATTCAACACATTTATCTCCTGGATAAACTCAGCCATCTTCAACTATCAATAACTGATTCTATTCTTAGATGTTCTCTGAGTGCCTCAGGTACAGCAGAACTCACCCTAAAATTTTGCCGAGTATCAATTCTGTTTGCAGCTGAAAGAATGGATAGCCTTGAGCTTGCATGGATTTAGTAAGAGTTTTTCCATACCTGCATGCTCAGGGGGGTTCTCTGAGCCAGAGAAGAGCGAAAGCCCTTCCTCCTCCATCTCAAATACACTTGCCACCCTCTTCCCATGATCCTGTGTGCTGAGTTGAGTGGGACCCATGGAGGCCACACAGGAAGGGCTCACTATAATCTCATCGCTGCAGCATTGTTACTGCTGAGCCTGGGGCTGCAGGCGTCTTCCTTCAAGGTCTTTAGTTTCTCTCTGCTATTGGAAGTCAGAAACAAAGTACCTGTGGGGAAAAAAAAAACAAAAAAAAAAAACAAAAAAAAACAGATGCAAAAGAGGCAAGAGCACAAGTACTGAGGCTGTTAACTCCCAAAATCTGTTACAAGCAAGCATCGATATTTTGTTTCTTTATTTAGTAAAAGGGACAATTAAATTCATTTTATCAATATTTGTTCTCTTGAAATGCAGTATTTTAACAAACTCTGGTAAAAGGTACAAGATTAGCACACCCAGGTGATGAACCGTCTTTATTGCCAAAATATTTATCAAAGCAGGACTAGTCTTCATTACTGCTAATACCACCTGGGGACTTCACCCCGACCTCACCAAGTGTGTAAGAGGGAAATTCCAGACTTTACAACCAGTGGCCTTTGTTAAAGCTTCCAGTAACAAATAGCTCATTACTGCCAGCTGCCCTGGATTTTGTGGCATATACTGCAGAGCACACAGGAAATTAAGACAATTTTGATACAATGATTTAGCAAAGACTACGAAACACCAGCTTTCTCTATTAGTATCAGTAGCCAAAAGCTGTGCCAAAGATCAACGATGTATCAAAAATAAGGATGATCAATCCTCCCCTCACTTATGGCAAGAAATTGAAAGTCAGCATCATACCTATCAGAAATGACCATTACACCACCCTCAGGAAATTGACCACCCTGAGGACACTCTTTTCTGGAACTTGGAAACAATACTGTAGATCATCTTTTATTATACAGCATTAACTCCACTATAGAACCTGAATCTGGAAAACAAATCCAATCACTTTTTCCAGAAAGCCCCATCTGCACAAAAACAAAAGGCCTTACTGGTTTGATTGCACAGACCTGGTGAGACCTGATGCAGACTGCTAATGTAAACACCCCTAATCTGATTGAACACACATTTGATCAGTTGATCTTAACTCAGTGATTTACCAATGCAAGCTAAAGGGATTAACCGATTTAAAAAGCAACTACGTTAAAGGCCTGTACCAGTATAACTTGAGTGACCGAGCTCAGGACTGGGAGCAGGCCACTCTCTGAAATTCAGACAGGAGGTGACAGAAAGCTGGGCAGCAGCTCAGATACAAAAGTATCGGGTAAGCAGGGGCATGCCTCACACACTGCAGTGCTGGCTGGGAAGAAGTAAAGCACCACAGCCCAAGTCCCTTCTTCTGTCCTGGGTATTTGGACCACATCGTGCAGCTTTTCTTAGAATGCCAAAGGCAAAGATGAACGCATTACTTCCACAAACCGCTCCTCTTCCAGCACTCTGAAACAGTCATCAAGTATGAACGCAGTCATACTGTCAAGCCTGCTGAGCTCCTGCCATCTCTCATTACACTGTGGCAGATAATGGATGCAGGTGTTAAAAACCACAGAGCATATTAATTCACGTGACCTTTATAAACACAGCCTCAGACTGTGTAAGGAATTTGGAGCTCCCTCCCCTTTGGTGAGCGCAGCCACTGAATCACTGGAGAAAGAGACTATCTAGGATAAAAGCAGTGGCAGTAAGTATGAAACTCAAAGCCAGAGAAAGGACAAAGTCCTATTGTGGGAGACTACAACCTAACCGATGCGATTTGTAATCAATTCAAAGAGGCTCACAGTCCTCAAAGGAGGAATGCAGCTATCACAATCAACTTTTTTTAAAAAAAGTCTCCACAGTAAATCCTGCAGCAACTGAAAACCTTGTGGAGAGGCACAGAGCATCGGATGGAGATAGGAACTTCACTGAAAGGAACCCAAACCTGACTTGTATTCGTAGTCCCATGTAAGCTCCTCACTGATGCCAATATCAGATGTCTCCGGACGTGTTTGGGCACGAAACAAGAAAGCTAAGCATACTGCCTCAGTGCATCTCCACATTCCTTTAAACCACGCAAAAGACTCACTCAAACATTTATTATTGTGCAGAGTGAATCACCAGCAGCAGTACCGCAGTAATTCTTCAAAGGAAGAGTTTGATTCCCCAGCTGAGGGACTGAGCAACAGCACTTAGGCCCCACTACCTTCAGTTCAGCAACCCAGTCTTGCTGCATCCCAGTCACAACTGTGATGTATTCTCTGCTTCCAGAAAGCAAAAGAGGAGCATTCAGCCTGATGGGATTTCAAAACTGTGTCTCTGCACACCCGTAACTGACACTGCAGGAGAGAAACTTGCTGTCAGCAGGACATCTGGAGCCCAAAGGGGAGTTTCTAAGAGACTGCAGACTTCCTGGCAATGTCTGAGAAGTCTGCAGCTACTAGCAGGGAGGGGCATATAACTCCACGTGCACACCCAAGACATGGTGAGGGGTAACAACTATCAGCCACTACCTTTGGGCTGTAAAACCAACCCACACGTTCCTACTTTGCAAACTAGCCTCCAGCCTTCCAAACAGAACAGGCCAGATAGGAGGGCCTCTCATCTTCTCTGCTCCTAAGACGCGTTTTTTAGTTTTGCAGATTCAGTAACAGTCACAGGCTGTAGAAAACTAACCTAACTATAAACAGCAGCACTCTGGTGCTAAGTAAAGAAATTTAAACTAACGTTTTCCTCACAGGCACACAAGTGAGAGGCTGTATGACTAGGCCAGGGAGTTAGTTTTCATAGAAATACGTAAGGATTGTTTTCAAATGACTAAAAATGCTGTCAAGTTTTGTACTAATAATCATGTTATTAGAGGTTCACATCATCTAATTTTCACCACCATCTCAACTGAAAATGTAGAAGGGTGATGCAAGTTGTAACTGCAAGAGGGAACACTGTCTTCTTGACATAATCTGCTGTGCTGTCTCCCACCGTCTGTCTCAACTCTATCAGTTTTAGAAACCAGGACTGGCCAAGTGACAGAAGATGAAGCAATCACTTCTCTCTAATGCAGCATCTAGAACAGAGGAACCTGATGAGCAGACATACTCCAGTGAGGACGCACATGCAGATGAAAGGCTAAGGAAAACAATTTTCTGCCAGCCCTTGCCACCCACGTCTCAAAAACACTAAACACTCCTGAAATGTGTTGCCACTAGCTTCACCCTACTCCATTTCTTCCCTCTCCCCTTCTTTTCTGAGACAACAGAACAACTCAGATACCAATGGTCTCAAGATCAGTGCTCTTGCAACAGAAAGTACTGTTAATGCAGACTAGATGTGGCAGCCCTGGCTCTTGCACCTCATGCTAAGTGCCATAAACATTCATCATGTCCTCCAGCAACAGTGTCATCTCATCCCATTCCCTCAGCCAAGTCCTCTTCCAAGCCCAGCTGAAGCACTTAAGCACTCTTCTGCAAGTCTTTGATCTGACCTGTGATCAACAGGCACAAAGCTCCAGAACTTGCCTAATTTCTGTCCATCATTAGAATCACAGAATGGTTAGGGTTGGAAGGGACCTCAAAGATCATCTAGTCCCAAACCCCCTGCCATGGGCAAGGACACTCTCCAGTACATCAGGTTGCCCAAAGCCTCATCCAACCTGGCCTTGAACACTTCCAGGGATGGGAACTTCTCTGGGCAACCTGGTCCAGTGCCTCACCACCCTCAATGTAATAGATTTCTTCCTTCTATCTAATCTAAATCTCCTCTCTTTCAGTTTAAAGCCATTGCCCCTTCACTATATACCCCTGTAAAAAGTCCCTCTCCAGCTCTCTTGTAGGCCCTCTTCAGGTACTGGAAGACTGCTATAAGATCACTCTAGAGCCTTCTCTTCTCCAGGCTGAACAGCCCCAACTCTCTCAGCCTGTCTTCACAGGAGAGGTGCTCCAGCCCTCAGATCACCTTCATGGTCCTCCTCTAGACTCGCTCCAGCAGCTCCATGTCCAGGTGGGGTCTCACAAGAACGGAGTAGAGGGGCAGAATCACCTTCCTCGACCTGCTGGGCACACTTCTTTTGATGCAGCCCAGTATACGGCTGGCTTTCTGGGCTGCAAGCGCACATTGCCAGCTCATGTTGAGCTTCTCATCCACCAGCACTCCCAAGTCCTTTTCCTCAGGGCTGCTCTCAATCCATTCTCCGCCCAGCCTGTACTTGTGTTTGAGATTGCCCTGACCCATGTGCAGGACCTTGCACCTGATCTTGTACTTCATGAGGTTTGCACAGGCCCACCTCTCCAGCCTGTCAAGATCCCTCTGGATGGCATCCCTTCCCTCCAGCATGTTCACAACACCACACAGCTTGGTGTCATCAGAAAACTTGTTGAGGGTGCGCTTGATCCCATTTGATCACATTCACTGGGGGCAAGTAAAGGAGACAGCATCGGGCAGCACAGCACAAAGAAACTGAACGAGCCAGATGCAGTTACTGTGACACTTCTGATAAACAGGTCTGTCCTCTCCCTGGCATTCCTTGTTTGGTGCTTTCTGCGAGAAGTTTAAGGATCAGGAACAAGAGCAGAGGCAAGCACATCTCTGAAGAAACTGTACTGTGGAGTGCAGGAACAAAAAGAGGAATAGTACAATGAGCTCTTACTTTTACCTCCAAACACCGCATGTTCAGAAGAAGCAGTAGCTTTTTATGAAGTTTGCACAAGTCTCTGGGATCTTTCAAAAGATGATTTACTGGATAGAGTCTTGGTCCTGTAAACTACAAAATCCTACAGCCTTCTGCCAAAGAAAAATGTATGGTAATGTTTCAGTTCGGTAATGAATCGCAAGCGCGCATTCTGCAGCACATCAGCAACAGCAGAAGAGACCTTACATTTGTATATATATGTTAGCACGATGTGCTCACATCATACAGCTGTGTGTCAACAAGACTGTGCGTTTGTGCATGGGCCTAACAGGCTGTTGGTGAACAAATACACCTGATAGGTACCTCTGAAGTATAGGCCTTCCTAAAGCAAGGATATAGTTTGGCATTTTGATTTCTAAATGTGTTCTGACACGCAATACACGTGCCAGCATCCAATCTGAATCTACCTCTGAAAGCTGGGCTCACAACACTGCATAAGGGAAATCTGCTGAAATCTAAATGTACAACTCCCACACTGGTGATGCTACATTGGGTATCAAATGCTGGCTGCATATCTAAATGGCCAAGGGGAA